CTCTCCCCGCAGGAGGCGGCTGGACTACGTGAACCATGCCAGGAGGCTGGCAGAGGACGACTGGGCAGGAGCAGAGAGCGAGGGCGAGGAGAAGGAAGGGGAAGATGAGGAGGAAGAGGAGATGGATGTGGATACTGGCAAGAAGCTGCCCAAGCGCTATGCCAATCAGGTGAGGAGCTGCCCCCCTCCCCACAGGGCCGGGCATGGAGAGGGATGTGGGGTGGTTGAGGCTGGGTTGGGTTGGGTGTGGTGGGCAGCCGTGGTGGTGGCTTCATTGAGGCTGAGGATAATGCCTCCCACTAGGCTTGGTGCTCAGGGAGGAACCGTGCCTCGGTCTCACCCCTGCGACATGCTGTGTTCAAAGGGAGGACAGGTGGAGGTGGGTTGCTTGTGTGCTTTGGGAGATTTCAGCGTAGCTAGCAGCACTTGTATGCTGTTGTGCAGCAGTCGGTTAAAGACTTCTATCTCTCCCCATCATCTAGGATGTCGGGAAGGAAGGGAAACCTCAGCTGATAGGTTTTATCAGCCTTGGCTGCCATATTGGTCCTAAAAGACCCACAGCCTTGCAGGTGATCACAGCCAGACTGAAGAGGTCAACTTGTCCAGGCTCTTTACTCCTAGTATTTAGGAATCTCTAAGCTCTGCCATGTATTGATACATAAGTAAACTTAAAGCGCTGGAGTGGGGACCAAGGTACAGAGGTGCCCAAGCAAGGGCTGTGAGCCCTGTGCTGTAGTCTGAAGCTTAGTCAACAGCTGGGAAGCAAGAGAAAGGCTTGGGGGAGCTGGTTAGAGAGAGGGAGGGAGCTGTGTTGGTGCTGTAACACAGGGTGACAAGCAATGCATGTTGCATCTAATGCACCCGGTGTAGCTGTGGAAGCCAAACTCTTGGTGTGAGTTTTCCATAACTTCAAGAGAGTTGTGGCTAACTGTTTTCCCCCCCCCTCCTTTCCCCCTGGATTTCTCCATAGCTGATGCTCTCTGAATGGCTGGTCGATGTCCCCTTGGATCTGGAGCAGGAGTGGGTTGTAGTGGTGTGTCCCATAGGGAAAAGGGCGCTGGTTGTGGCCTCCAGGGTAAGCGGAGGTGCCCAAGCAAGGGCTGTGAGCCCTGTGCTGTAGTCTGAAGCTTAGTCAACAGCTGGGAAGCAAGAGAAAGGCTTGGGGGAGCTGGTTAGAGAGAGGGAGGGAGCTGTGTTGGTGCTGTAACACAGGGTGACAAGCAATGCATGTTGCATCTAATGCACCCGGTGTAGCTGTGGAAGCCAAACTCTTGGTGTGAGTTTTCCATAACTTCAAGAGAGTTGTGGCTAACTGTTTTCCCCCCCCTCCTTTCCCCCTGGATTTCTCCATAGCTGATGCTCTCTGAATGGCTGGTCGATGTCCCCTTGGATCTGGAGCAGGAGTGGGTTGTAGTGGTGTGTCCCATAGGGAAAAGGGCGCTGGTTGTGGCCTCCAGGGTAAGCGGCAGCAGTGATGTCTCACTGTTTGGTAAGGGACCTGTATCTGTTTCCCAGCCAATATAAGACTGGCCCGTGTGTCTTGCTTGACTTTTTTTATTTGTTTTTTTCCCCATTTTCTTGCAGGGCATGACAGCAGCTTACACCAAGAGTGGCTTCTGTGTCAACAGGTTCCCATCCCTGCTGCCAGGGGGGAACCGGCACAATTCAACGAGCGAGAAAGGTAATGGTGTGAGGAGGCTTTTGGGACGGAGAGGGGAACCGCTTGCTTCTCCCTCTGAGTCTGTGTACTGGCAGGATAACTAAAGTGGACAATCTCAGATGCTCTTATGCTAGATAAAAACGTATTTTAATTTGCTGCCTGATTAACTGATACTCTTAAACCTCAACATCTTCTCTGTCTTCCGACAGAGAGCTGTGTACAGTGCCATCTTTCTTAATATCTCTTGCAGTTGCTTTGCTTGTCCTGAGGAGGGGTTATGGTTGAGTAAATGCCTTTTTCTGAAACGTGCCTTTGATGTGCCTCTGGCTGGTACCTTTGTAGCCTTGTTGGACTCCAAGCGAAAGGCTTTCTGTGGTTGTGGCTTCTGTTAGCAGCAGGGGATCCCTCCCTCGGTCTTACATCAGGGCAGGCTTAATGCAGGAGAGACTTGATCTGGCAATTGCCTGGTGGGTTGGGCAGCCTCTGGAGCATGTCTGGATCTCCCTGTGTTTGTGTGTGTAGTGTACTGCATCTTGGACTGCATCTACAACGAGGCAAAGCAGACATACTATATCCTCGATGTGATGTGCTGGAGAGGACACCCTGTTTATGACTGCCAGGTACTGAATCTCCCCCCTTCTGCCCTTCCTCCCCTTTTGTTCCCTGTTCTGTGAGCTGCTTTGCAGCCAGCACTGAACATAGCCCACTCTGCTGCAGAGTGGGCTATTTCGTTGAAGCACCAGCAGCTTTACAGCTTGTGGGTTGCTGGCTACTGGAATAATTGGGTACCTCTTTTGGGGGTATCGGGGAAGTAGCAGAATTCAGGCTGCTGGCTGGTTCTGCAGGTGAAGCTGAGTTTGTAAATCTCCCGGGCAAGTGCAGAGGAATGGAGATGCTCAGCAGGTGCTGGTGTGTGGTGGATAGTCACTAGTCTCTGCTTCCTTTCACAGACTGACTTCAGATTCTTCTGGCTCTCCTCAAAGATCCAGGAGGAGGAAGGGCTGGGAGAGAAAAGCAGGATTAATCCAGTAAGT